AAGGAAGGAAGGAAGGAAGGAAGGAAGGAAGGAAGGAAGGAAGAGAGAAAAAGAGAGCCAGAAAGGAAGAAAAAGGAAAGGATGGAAGGAAGAAAGAAAGGGAAAGAGAAAGAGAGGGTGATAGAGAAAAAAAGGAAAGGAAGGAAAGAAAGAATAAGAAAGAATGAAAAAGAAAGTTGTCTAACAGGGACTGCGGTTTGGAGGTGCGACCGCCTTTTCACAAAACACTTTTGTGGCTTCTCCTATTTGAACGAAAGGGGAGTGGATCCAGACAACACCCGCCCCTCTGGGGCTGTGGGAGAGCATCCTGCTCTTGGCAAATGCACTCTGGACGTGCTCAGAGGCCCGGCGGTCACCATCCTCGGGGAAACGCTGACAACCGCCGAGCGAAGGCGCAAAAGAGCGTCTCCGGAGGGCTCCTTCCCGGCTGCCTCCACTTACCTCTCCCCGGGAGGGCCCGGGCTGTGCCGGCCCTCTTCCAGGCCAAGAAGCGGGGCAAACGGGCGAGGGGGAGCCGCGCTGAGCCAACCATCTTTTCGCCGCTTCAGCAGCCCAGGCGAGCGGCGTGGACTTTAAGACCGGCGCGGCCCACCAATGGCAACGGGGCTGCCGTCGCCGCCTCTTGGACCAGCCGCTCCTGGTCTCTCCTGCAAGGCCCGAGTTTAACCGAGAGGGCAACCGGGGCCGAGGAGCAGGGGAAGGAATGCGGTGCCTCTCGGTGGGCGAAGCCCGGGCATCCGAAACGGTCTCTGTGCATGTGCAAAGTGCATGCAAGTCTTCCTATCTCCCTCGTCCTTCCCTAAGGACGCCTTCATGGCTTTCTCGTCGCTTTCTCCTCCTCAACTCTTTCTCTTGTCTTTCTCACCCGCAGCCTTCTTATCTCTTTCTGCTGGGCTTTCCCAAAGGTGCTTTTTTCTGTTTTTTTCTTTTTCTTTCGCTTCTCATCCAAGTAGCTTCATCAGCTCTGACTGAATGGTGGTGAATTTGCACTACTCAGATGGCCCCGATGATACAGACAAACCTCCAGGTGGCCTTAATAACTTGCCAAAAGAATGCAATTGACAAGCTGCCAATCTCTGTACCTATATTTTAATTTTGTCCATGCGTACATGGACATTTGAGCACACGTCACATAAATATTGGTAATGTTGCTATGTTTGTGAAACAATAACCCAATATTTCTCTCCTTCCTCTCCCTCTTTCTCTTAAATATATAAATTAAAATAGCTTTTCTAAAAGTGAATAGGCTCATGATTTGCATGTATTATGAACATACTGATGACTATAAATTTACCTTTTCTCAGCTAAGACGTGTATGTGATTCAGAACATTGAATGAATTATTAGGGGAATCAAAGGAATTATTAGGAATGAATTATCTGAGTAAGGGGGCTTACTCAGACATTTTCAGATAAAAAAAATCTCGAGATTTTTGTGAATTACAAGATACTTAAAGAAATGTAAATCTTTAATATTTGAGTGTATTACAAAAATAAGAAAGAAAAAGCTGTAAACTTTTTGGTCATATCTCAAATGCATATCACTGGTGTGAAAATAAATTCTATAATATAAAATAAATATATAAAATATATAAATATTATATATATATATATATATATAATATAAAATCTAGAATATAAATTCTCAGTGAGGAAGCTTCTGGCAACCATAAAAATGCAAAATGTGTTTTGCAATGATGGAAACATTATGTTTTCCAAGGCAATTAATATTTTTCACTGTACTTAAATGTTTGTTTGCTTGTTTGGAAGACAGTTTTACTTTTTTGGCATCAGCTATGAAAAGTAACAGGGACGCGGTGTTTCAGGTGCTAAGACGCTGAGCTTGTCGATCAGAAAGGTCAGCAGTTCAGCGGTTTGAATCCCTGGCGCCATATAACGGAGTGAGCTCCCGTTACTTGTCCCAACTTCTTCCAACCTAGCAGTTCGAAAGCATGTAAAAATGCAAGTAGAAAAATAGGGACTACTTTGGTGGGAAGGTAACAGCTTTCCGTGTGCCTTTGGCACTTAGTCATGCTGGCCACATGATCACGGAGATGTCTTCGGACAGCGGTGGCTCTTTGACTTTGAAACGGAGATAAGCACCGCCCCCTAGAGTCGGGAACGACTAGCACATATGTGCGAGGGAACCTTTA